AGTAGGAGAGTAGGAGAGTAGGAGATTGCGCTGACAAGATTAGATACGTATCGACTGAAATCGCCGGAGAGTAGGATATTACGATATTACGATAGTAGGATAGTAGTAGATTCCGCTGAACAGATTAGATACATATTGATCAGGATATTAGGATAGTAGGATATTAGTAGAGTACGAGATTAGGATAGTAGGATAGTAAGCGACCACAAATAGAAAATCAATACTCCTATTATGCCTGTTTTCTTTTCCTGCCTACTTTTCTTTTGCTTTTTACTTTCTTTTCTTGAGTTCTTTCTAGATTAAGTCACAATTGAATTTCCTGTGAAATCCAACAGACTCCTTCTGATCGGTAGCCACGTGTCTTACGTGGGTGTTGATGACTCGCAGCTATTTTAACGTGTAGGTATTGATTTTTCAATTTCTTCATCCAACTCAAGAACCAGGAAGGTGTTGCTTGCATCTTCCCATAAAAACCCTTCCCCTGCCTAAGGCTCAGTCCCAAGTACAGTAATTGGCTCACTCACTGGGATGTCCCCCCCCAAGGACATGAGCGCCGGTGCAAATTGAGCTCTAGGTAATTAATGATTTATGTAAATGTTCACAAGGAAACAAAATGTTAGTTTAATCATTTAGGAGAGACAAAAATCATGAAGACACAACGTTGAGTCAAGAAAACAAGCTAGTTTAGCCCAAAATTCGGAAACAATGCCAACTTTTATAAATCAACACTGGTCGCTTAATATCCTACTCGCCAGCGATTTCAGTCAATATGTATCTGATATGTTCAGCGGAATCGCCTACTATCCTAATCGCGTACTCTACTACTATCCTACTATCCTGATATCCTGATCGATATGTATCTTATGTGATCAGCGGAATCTCCTACTATCCTACTATCCTACTCTCCTACTATCGTAATATCGTAATATCCTACTCTCCGGCGATTTCAATCGATACGTATCTAATCTTGTCAGCGCACTATCCTACTCTCCTACTATCCTAATCTCCTACTCTACTACTATCCTACTATCGTAATATCGTAATCTACTACTCTCCGGCGATTTCAATCGATACGTATCTAATCTTGTCAGCGCACTCTCCTACTCTACTACTATCCTAATCTACTACTATCCTAATCTCCCCGTCAATACATATTTTTCATTGTCGCGTACTATCCTAATCTCCGGAGTCGCGAACTATGAACGCGCCCTTTCTTTTTCTTCGACCTTCATTCTAATCGTGAATTCCTCCTTTAAACCAATTTCTCAGCACGTGAGTATGTTCAATTGCTAACCTTTCACCCAAAAAGCTAAGGAACTTGAGCCACTCAACTCTCTGAACTGACCAATAGCGAATTTCCATCAGAGCTAGGCTAGATGCTGATTGATTGATCATATTTCACTCCACACCGATACCCTAATTGTGAAAATTCTATAGACCGCTAAATCATCCGAGCTCGATATCAATGCTAAATGTTTACGAAGTCATGATAAGTACCATTTCATTCCGCATGCTACTGCGCGCACTACGCGACAATCTTCAGCGAAATTGGACAATCCTTTGGATATCATCTGATGCATCTTTCGAAACATCCACGGGCCCTCCATTTTCGTGGAGGTCACTTGAATTTGAATTTGAATCACTTCCCATCCACGTCGTGCTGAACGTAATAATCGTATTGTTCATTTCGTTTTTGAAGGCAGCGGTCGGGAACAGGCAGCCGAACCATTCCATTCGCTCTTGCGAATGTCGTATGTTCCAAAATAGCAGGCCTATCAAGAAACTCCGAAGGGTAAAGAAGGCTGGCATCATGTTTACCGGTTCCAATCTGAAGGTTACTGTGCCTAGCAAATGCTCAACGAACAGAATAGTGAGAGCGCATGATTTCGGCCAGATGTTGGGAGCTTGAGATAATTATAGTATTTAGGTAGGTTTTTTTCAAATCAACAATTGCATAGAATGGTCTGGCGACTGGCCAAAAATTAGAAAAGGCTCGGTGATTAGGAGAAAGACAGTTTATTTAAAATGTGGGCAAGTGAAGATCGTAATGAACAGAGGAATTATTTTCGAAAGATTTCAATACGATAAAATGTTAGTGTATACGTTAACATACAGTAGCTTGTCGATTATTTTCTACGACGTTATTATACGTAGTAAAATACTTGAGACTTTTGTGATGCATTCAAATCACATTTCCTCTTGGACTTCTTTCTTCTGGAATGTAGACCGTTAATTTGCATAAGTTATCCACCATCGAACTGGTCGTTTCCGTATCGCCATTGTCTTGACTCTGTAAAGCTACCGCTAAGCTGGATTAAAATTTATGCTCACACCAGGGAGCTCTTAGAGGTCTTTCAAGAGCCCAGTTTCGGAACGGCTTTTTTGCGTGATTTATGAGTACGTGCATAGAAACGAAACAGGTGGTTGTTTTCTTTTGCTGAGCGGTCCTTGTGAAACCAAAAAAAGCAGGCGTAAGAAATTTCTTAAGTACCTTACCTCTTCTTTCAGCAGTTGTTAGGCTGCTTTCATAGTTCGCATCGGTGCGGTCGGTGCCGACGGCGCCGACCGCACCGACAGTGTGAAGAGCGTCAATATGCGCTCTGGCGCACGACGTGTACGTTGGGCGCAGATGGCGCGCTCCGATCGATAATCTTGGGTTTGGTGTACTTCTTGTCTTCAGTCTTCCTTTTATAAGTGTGTTTTCTGTTGATACTTATTTTTTATGTCTTCATGAGTACTTTTCAGTTGTTCCGCGGACGAGCGACGTCGTATAACCCCGTGTGAAGTGGCTTCAAGACCCAGTGATTTCATCATGAGCAATTCTGTTTATTCGAGTGAACTGTATGTTTCCAGTAGTTGCTTTCTCTTCGATACAATTCCTGCCTGCGTGGTGTGCGAATAATTAAATTACCAAGATCCGGCCGGCTTTTCGCACACCAGCGGGGTAGTACGACGGGGTTCAACGAAGTCGTGGAACAGCTGAAAAGTATTAATCAAGACATTGAAGAAAAGTATGAACAGAAAACACACGAATGAAAAGCAACACGGCGCGAAAAAAACATCGAAAAGCACAAGAAATACACCAAAACCAGGATTATCGATCGGAGCGCGCCATCTGCGCCCAACGTACGCGTCATGCGCCAGAGCGCGTATTGACGCTCTTCACACTGTCGGTGCGGTCGGCGCCGTCGGCACCGACCGCACCGATGCGAACTATGAAAGCAGCCTTAAGTCAAACCTTAACCGGTTGTGAAGGTTGCTGATGGTCTTGATATATCAGGTTGTCGGAAAAGTTCTTGCGCATTTCCTCATCTTGCAAAATCTTTTGGATCGTTTTGAAACATTCACTGTGAAACGCATGTGAGCGGTGGTTAATGCTCTCTCCACAGCATTTCTGTCGTAGCATTTTCCAGCGTTTGAAGCTTAAAAACTGCCTTTCACTGAATTTATGTTCGACTGCTTCTGCTTTTATAAGCCCTTGAGTGCGACGCAGTAGGATGCCTATGTGTAGTGATGGATCTCCACAATATATTCCATGACGTGCCAGTTATTCAGTTTCCGAAGTGCTATCACAGCACAATGGCCGCTCTTCAGTATCGCCTCGAGAAGAAGTGGAATAATGGCGCAAAGGATATTTCGTAATCTGACTGACCACAGGCTATTAAGACGATAAAATTTTGCATGGACATTTTGATTTGCCGCCTGTCTCTCGCTTGATCCGCCAACTTTGTTGGTGGTAAGAAGTGGGATCCTCAGATAAACCGCACGCGAAAGCACGACTGGCTCGGATGCGTAGAACAAAGGATTGCACGCCGATTCGAGAACAGCAACCTGGGAGGCAACTTTGAAAGCTCATGAGGCTGCAAATGTTTCGCTCACGGAGAGCTGCTGCCAACGAAGTCCACTGCTATTGGTGAACAATAATGTTGGCAAGTGGATCGGTTCCCGGCATGGTGCCCGGAAAATCTGAGAAACTTTACTTTATGTCGGCAACGCTCGCCCACGAATTACGAAGAAGGTTCAGGAAAAGTCTCCAAGCTCGTTATGAGATGATCTGACCCACTTAGTGTGTTAGCAAACCTGGTAGACAGGCTACCATACGCCTCTGTTGCCGTCGAAGGTACTGAAATAGGGGCAGTTCTATGATCCGGACCTACTCGGAGTCAACCTCTTCGAGCTTTCCACCCCAAAGACTCAGGATTCCTGAACGGCCGGCAATTGAAGCTGCCTGCTAAAGAGCAACGTTTCAAACAATAAGGTGGTGTATGGTAAAATGCTGCTATCTCTGAGCCTCTTTGATATTGTGTTCAATAAGATGTTCTTGAAGCTCTTGGCCTTATATTTATTGGTGAGCTTTCGGCAATAATGCCATCATCAGACCAACCTTAAAATTACAATAATTACAAATCAACAACTACAAGACAAAGGACATGTTGCATCGACACATACCAGAAAGGAGAGAGAAGAGGGCCTATCGGGGTGGCTCGGGAATGAAAATGAGACGCCAATCCTGAGGGAAAGGAGCTCACTGATCATGCCAAAAGCCTCAGAAGGTCACGTAGCTCTTCTTTCGCATTTATTTCTGGCTTGATGCGGTATATCTCCCGCGCTTCCATGATCTTTCTCTCCAGGGGCCGTATCATATGTCTATGAAGAACGCTCACGTCAAAAGACGGAGCGTTTTCATCCGTATGCCTTAGCGTACGGTGCCTAGAGAAAGCGAAAAGGTCTGAAGAAGTTATTGAAAACCACATTGAGGTACACTGTGGGAGACAAATGCGGCTCTTTTGTAGTGATGCCTCAAACGTTGGATAAGGCAATAGCCGTCCAAGTGCTCTCGGATACATCTGTATATGAAGAAAGTACTTTGGCAGCGTTCGAATCGGTATGTAGAAAAGTCAAAAATGTTATAACGTCGATAGTGAAGAAACGTATGAGCTCGGAAATGGCAAAACGATTGCATGGTATGGTTCCTGTAGTGCCAACGCTATATAATTTGGTGAAGACGCATAAAATTCCATCCACGGCTCATATAATGTCCCTGCAGCTTAACGAAGTCAAGACAAGGCCAATTATCGCATCATGTGGTGGACCGGCAGACAGACTAACCAGGAAAGGTCATTTGGTCAACCCGGCCATTTGAAATGAGATGTATATGTGTATACGCGCCTTGGGACGCTGAGCTCAAATATGTGTTCCTTATCTGCTGAACTCTTCTCTGAAAGGAATTATGAAGCAGAAAAGCGCAGGGGCTGTGGTCGAGGCTCACGAAAAAGAGGTCAGGGGATCTCCCTGGCGAGTTTGTTCTTTTGCCGTTTGCAGTAAGATAGCTAGGAAGATTCCTAACATCGCTAGTCCAACATGCTTGCGTATAGTTAACAGTACAAAGAATTTAAGGGCAATTAATAACGAACTTGGGCGGCATCGCTCCTCACTACTTTGGGCGCTTGTAGCGCAGGCGCCAGGCATTTTTGCTTCGAACAAGTATGATATTCGTAATCAGGGAGCCAGACTCTCCCTTTGAGCAAACTTCTAGCGAATTCTGAAATTTTGACCTAACCTCGAAAATTTGGGCAGTCACTTACTCACCGATCCACCAATCCATTACAAAAGGCTGGCACTTGGGTAGAATAAACCTTTTAAAACTTTTCATAATAGACAAAAATTGTGTCTGGCTTGCCCGTCTGCATCATCCAAAGATCTGCAAGGCATTATAATACAACCCCTTTTTCTCCTCTCCCCCGTCGTCCATGATTGGTCAACCCAAAAAAGTGGAGTTTGAGGAGTGGTAATCCCATCACTGCTCCGCTTTTTCTCAATTAGTTCATGACCTCAGGTTTGGCGAAAAACTCGTTTTAGGGTAGTTTGATCCCCTGAATACGAATATCGTACCTACTTGCCACGGGAAAAGCCTAGCACCTGCACTACGGGCACCATGTGGCACTAACAGACAAGTAGTGCTCGAGCTTAAGAGAATCTGCTTGCAAACTCTTGTAGATGTAGCGTCGGGCAACCATTGATAATATAACGGATTCAAAAAGGCTTTTCAGCTATGTTGACAAAAAGCAAAACACCAAACCCGGGGGAACCGAACCCCCAACCCCTTGCTTGAGAAGCAAGACCGCTACCAACTGCGCTACCGAAGCTCACCTCTGTTCGGTTCTTCCTTTCGAGACTTTTATAATGGAGCTAACATGTGATTGCAGGCAAGACACTGAAAATCAAGGGCGGCAACAAAAACCCTCCGTAACTCCTTTCAGAGAAGAGTTCAGCAGATAATGAAAGCAGATTTGAGTTCAGCGTCTCATGCTGCGTACAGAAATGTGCACCTCATTTCATTTGGCCGGGTTGGCCTAATGACCTTCCTGGTAAGCTGGATTCTGGTTCAACTTCTCACGCCACTTTTGCTATACGTAGGAGCACACATGCTATACGTAGGAGCACACATTGTAAACGTTGATGAATTTCTGTCATCTCTTCACCAATGTCCAGTTCCAACGGCTGCCTTCTATGCGAGCTTCGACGTCGTATCCATACATACAAATGTGAACAATGAGGGAGCAGTACATGCTGTATTATCACTCCTCGAGCAAAATTGTGATAACGTGTCGATGATGGGATTTTCCGCTAACGAAATAAGGAACTCGTTGAAGCAGCGCTCGAATGCAACATTTTTTGCTTTAATAACAAGTTTTACAAGCAAAAAAGAGGCCTAGCCATGGGCAATCGCATTGCACCGTTGTTAGCAGTCATCTTTTTGGACCACATCGAAAAGTCATCTCTATCCAGTGGAATTCTATTCTACAAGCGATATATCGATGACGTGTTTCTCATTGGAACAACGCAAGAAGATCTCGTGGAAACTCTAGAAAGACTGAACTCACACGATGCTAATATAGCCTTTACAAGAGAAGATCCGGGCAGGGATGGTTTTCTACCGTTCCTGAATACAAAAGTGCGAATAAGTAACGGCTACAAAGAACACCTGTGGTATAGAAAAAGTGCCTCTTCAAATATATTGTTGCATTCGAGAAGCGCTCATCCAACATATATGAAGGCGAACGTTGTGCGGAATCTTCAGAAAACGAAGGAGAAACTCGGGACGCGAAGAGACCCAGACGTAGATGCTAAAATTAAAAGCATCCTTGAAAGCAATGGGTATCGAGAAGGAAATTTGGGAGCCTGGACACCATACAGAACGTTAGATGGAATCACCCTCAAGATGCCGTATGTCAACGACAAAATGGCTCGTGAGGTGAATCGTGTTGTGAAAGATGCCCAGCTTCCGATTCGTCTCGTTTTTCGACCTCCTCCCACACTCAAGGACCTCCTCACATCATCGAGGATATACGAGGATAGGTGCCACGAGCAGTATTGTCGATACTGCACTTCCGAGAAGATCTGCGAACTCCAAGGCACAGTATATCTAGTCCGATGTAGAGGATGTGGAGAAAAGTATGTGGGAGAGACTGCAAGACCCCTGAAGATACGCCTGGACGAACACAGGAGGGCGCTGAATAATCCCGCCGCCTACCCACGGAGCAGTTTCTCTAGGCACCGTACGCTAAGGCATACGAATGAAAACGCTCCGTCTTTTGACGTGAGCGTTCTTCATAGACATATGATACGGCCCCTGGAGAGAAAGATCATGGAAGCGCGGGAGATATACCGCATCAAGCCAGAAATAAATGCGAAAGAAGAGCTACGTGACCTTCTGAAGGCTTTTGGCATGATCAGTGAGCTCCTTTCCCTCAGGATTGGCGTCTCATTTTCATTCCCGAGCCACCCCGATAGGCCGCCTCTTCTCTCTCCTTTCTGGTATGTGTCGATGCAACATGTCCTTTGTCTTGTAGTTGTTGATTTGTAATTATTGTAATTTTAAGGTTGGTCTGATGATGGCATTATTGCCGAAAGCTCACCAATAAATATAAGGCCAAGAGCTTCAAGAACATCTTATTGAACAACAATAAGGTGGTGTGTTAATTACTCAATTGGTGGCTGCACCAAAGAAGAAAAAGCATTTTGAAAAAATTGTCAAATGGCAAAGACTTTTCCGACAACCTAATCAAACACAAAATGCAAAAAATTGTCACCGCGAGGATTCGAACCACGGACCAGTCCTTTTTTGATAAGACCTTCCTCGTTAGATCGCACTTCTATGAACTGACTGCTCGAGCCATTGTCGGCTTCTGATATTACCAAAAAAAAGTCGTCCTTGTTTCTGAGACCGGACCACTACCGCTGCGCTTTTCTGCTTCACAGCTGGTTTCGGAGAATTGTTCAGAAGGTAACGAACGTTTGAAGATGCGGCTCAAGGCATGTGTAGAAGGGTACACCCCATTACAGTTTTCTTAATCGACATAATGACCCTGCCTGATCAGTAGTTTATAGGAGTTATGGGGTGTTTATTGTTAGCGATCGTACGTGCGATTAGGCGATAAGGCGTGGAAGACTACATACGTATTGATTAGTTTGCACAGCGTGTAGGCGAGGAGGCGATTAGGCGATCACTCAATGGGCGGAGCCTACTCTTTTGCCTAGTCGACTACTCGCCTGATCAGCAAGCGCTTTTTTGCTTTATTACATCCTAATAGCCCATTCAGTCCATATGTGGGCTTCAGTCTGTCGACCGTGTAGGACCTTACGACCTATTTTTTGGGAACAGATGTAACACTGATTCATCCCGGTTCTTTTTTGTTCCGAAGAAGTATGGCTCCAACAGATCTTCTCACTCACACCAACTCTGGTTGCTGGTTGGAATAGATGGGGTCTGAGCCAGGAATTTCTTTCTCAGGCTATACATAGGTGCATTAGGGTGCCGTCTACCATTTGCCCATTTCCAGCACGTTAGAGGATTACTGGAACAAAACCTACACAAACATCATGCCCTTCCATGTCTTGCATTGTCTTGATTATGGAATACCGGCGACTTTCCACTTTTCTGAAAAACTTGGATTTTCGATCAAGTACCAAAATTAACTGTGATCTAGCTCGCCGCACCATTCTACCAGCGGAAGCAGGAGCACCAGGCGCCTCTGCTGTCAGGAGGTCGTGAAGCATTAGAAGGAACACCACCGCCACTGTTAGGAGCTTCACCTTTGAATGGAGCACCTTTGAAAGGTGGAGCACGTGCTCCACCTGGAGGTGTTAGCTGCTCGATTTTCTTGCCCTTGCCCTTCTCCTCGCCTTTCTTACTCTTAACCTTCTTTTTCTTCTTTTGCCTGCCCAATGATCTCATCGATGTTAATCTTTCACTGCGTTGTTTTCTTCGGATGATTAAGGCGGCGATAGCCAGAAATATCACGATCAGCACTACAGCAACACCAGCAGCCACGATGACAGGCGCCATGTAGTCTCCGTCGGTTTGGTGTTCTTCGTCATCAATTGCAAATGGTCTACAATAAGATTTCATTAATTACAGAAAGAAAAGCAATTTTTGGCTCTGTGAATTTCGAATTTCAACCAGTTCTGCTAAAATGCGCCACGCATCCGACATCTGCATTCAAATTTGTGGGACGCTTCGAATGTTACCTTGGCCCGAGCAATCTTTTCCTCGAAGGAGCCACTAATTGTTTCTCTTTTTTTTGAACGCAACTGGAAACAATTAGTCAACTGCGAAGGAGTAGAGGTTGTTTATTGGCCTCGTTAGGATTCGATCC